CGGCCCTCCTCTCTGCAGCCCAATGAAAGGCTATTAGGAAGAGGCGAGCCTGTAATTTCTTCCCCAGAACTGAATGGACACCAAAAGGTGCGCTTGGAAAATGAGCAGCTTGACCCCCTGATTATGGTCCATCAGTGAAGGATGGTCTGGAGCTGGAGGAGGAAGGAGAGCAGGTGTTTGATTGAGAAGTAAGAAATGTTCTTTCTCTCCCCTTTTGTGGTGCTGGGCAGGCCCGGCGGTGTTAACATCACTCTTGTGAATGCCTCTCATTCTGTGACACTGACTCAACCCAGCGGCTCGGCTCTAACGCTCTGTGCTCCACTGATGCTCTATTGTGTCCTTGAAGTGCAGCTCGTATGTTACTGACTGTATGCCGCTGACTGGGAACGCCGTCCAGAGCTTCAGTCAGAACAGGGTCTTCACTTAGATGAACCCTTTGTCATTCTGCTCTGTGGCTGCTCCGGTCCTGTTCGGGGTTCACAGTCCTGAATGTGCATCTTTACACTTTTGCACTGACTCCCTACCAGTCTCATGTTAACCCGGGAGCTGGGCATGAAGACACTAAGCAGTTTGTCCCTGATGATTTACAGCTAGGATCAGTGTTCAGAACCAGTAAGGAGGCAACCTGCATGTCAGCAAAAAACCTAAACATGAACCAGAACCATAAATGTTCTGTCTGTCTCACACATGCTGGCATACATGACACTCCTATAAATAATCCTAAACACTATATACCTTCTGTTTCTCTACCTGTCGGTCACTAATACGACTCTGAAAACGTCCGGCCTTGTTCAGCTGGAAACAGATGAATACGGGCCGTACTCGGGCCGCTGGGTTCTGGAAGCACAATAAACATTTCACCATAATTAATTTGTAAAGACAGGAAGTGTACGAGTCCTGTACCATTTCTACATTATAATAATCTGTAGTTTCTGTATAATAATAATCTGTAGTTTCTGTATAATAATAATCTGTAGTTTCTGTATAATAACAACCTGTAGTTTCTGTATCACTGATAGTTGCTGCTGGTCGCTGAGCTGTTGATGTGCCGCCTGCTGTCCAGTCTGTCCTTCCTGATGCTTGAGACTTGCTGAATTTCTTCATGCAGGCCTGGTATGATGCACATTCTGAGATTTAAATGTCCTGTTAGTTCAGAACAGCAGCAGGTGAACATGAAACATGAAGCCAGAACAGACGTCTGAACCCTGTCCACATCAGCTGACTGAGGTGACGCTGGGCTCACTCCCAGATGTGGTGCCCGGTGGAGAAGTAAGCCCTGAACGTAGCTGGATTAAGACGGGAAGTCGTTGTCCTGCATAGCCAGCTGCCCGGATACATATGTGGAAAAGACTGGATGACGGAATGAAGGGAGCTGAGATGGTCTTCTAGTGTGAGTCCAGCCCTGGATAACTCCATCCCAGGGTGAAATCTTGATCAGCTGATGGGCAGCAACACCACCTGGACACACATCCGTCTGAACGTAAACAGCAGCGAATAGACCAGAACATACAGAACAGCTGATGTGGCGCCTCAGCCAATCAGCAGACAGGACGTCGCTATTGGACAGTTCTGATAAATCCAACACATATAGAACTATGTATGTGCACATGGCAGCCATGGTGTGGTTCAGGATCGGTTCTGACTGAATGAATGATGATTAACGGCTGTCACCAGAGCTGGACGCTGGTGGGTGAAGGAAACGTGGGAATGCTTTACCTTCAGTTGTTGAATGTTAGATCTAGTGACTGACATAAAGATAGAGGACGTGCTTAACCAGAAAGCAGCTTCTTCCTGTCTGTGGGTTCGCTAATCAGCCCACCTCTACAGCCCTGCTGCTCCGGCGCTGAACATTAACAATGAGCTAGACCCGACCAGTACAACCACAGCTCTGAACTTTCAGCCAGGGTCCAGTTCAGATCCTTCCCTCAGTGCACTAGCATGTTTGGGATTACTCCTCTGAGCTCATGGTGAATTATGCGCCCTTTACTCTCCTGTAGACCACATCGCGCTTCATTACAGACACAATGGACGTCAGATGGCCTGCTGATTTATCTCCGGCCGCTGCACCGCCGCATGCCGAGCTGGGCCTGTGAAGGCTATCTGGGCCATTCAGAGCAGGATCCCATCAGCCCTGCTGGCTGAGTTACGGCCACACTGCCAGACCATGGCGATGCTGTAGCGATGCTGAGACTGCTGAGGATTTATTAAAGCACAGCCCTCCTGCCTTTCTTCTCTGCTTACCTCCCCAGCTCTTCTGCTGGCCCACAGAGAGGATCCCATCTATCTGTCCCCACCCAGGAAACACACTCAGCATCCCAGCAGGCCTCCGTCACCTGGTCTAGCCTCTGCTGGCCTGGATAGCACACACACACACACACACACACACACACACACACACGGTGGTTCTTGGTTCTTTAGTCTACTCCAGAACCAACACCGTGTATCAGTGACTGATGACACCAGTCCAAAGGTCCAGTTAGTCGGTTGATCCAGTTTTTCATCTCCTTGACTCCGTCAGAGGAAGGAACCGGTTCACACGTCATCACATAAATGAGCAAACAGGACATTTGCTTTGCTGCATTTCCACGACTGAACACCAATCAGCTGAACTCTGAGAGCCTTGAGTGACCCACTGGCTGTAGATGCAGCAGTTCAGTCACGCATCAGGTCAGCAGAACCAAACATTAAGTCATAAACTGAGCTGATGAGCTTACAGGTGGAGTGTGTTCTGTGGATAATCATCTGTAGATGTTCAGCCTGTGCCAGCGTCGCTGTGCTGCCCTCTGTCCCTGAGTGCTGTGCATGAACGTTGTGGGTCGGTCTGGTTCTGTTTGTTCCATTTACAGACTCAGGGTACATGACAGCTGACACACACAGGACAGAGGTCTGTAGACCGTGACAGGATCATTGCTGAACTTGACTGTTCTCTTCTGGGATGAACCCAATGTTCAGCTGATGCCCACACCAGCCCACTTCCTGGTGAGGAGGAAACCTGGAGAAGTCTCCAGACCAGACTGTCCTGCCTCTACAGTAGAACATGGGGGTGGATCAGTGACCATCTAGGCTGGTTCCAGTTTGGATGGAGCAGGGCAAATGAAGCAGGTCCAAACAAATGTACTTCAGTGGTACCAGGCGGTAAAATGAACAGAAACTGAAGAGAACAAGGAGGTGTGGTCATGTTTCCATGACTGTATGGTTCCCCTCCACGCTGAGCTGCCTCCACCATGTGTCCTCTCTGATGGTTTGTGCTTCAGAACCTACAACGTTATGGTTCTCAACCAACTTTTCAGGTTCTGAACTCCATTTTTACTTATCGTAGAACCTGCCAGATTTAGGTTTGTGGATCAGAGCAACCTGTTCTGTTGGAGGGCCCTGGGGTAGATGTGTGTCGGGCTCTATTCAGTCCTGGTTTCTCTGAACAGTCAGTCCAGTCCTGTTCTGATCTGGTCTGTCACACATCATTTGATCTGCTTCTATCAGTTCTTCAGGTTCTGTTGTGGTGAACTTGGTGGACACTTCTAGGAGTGGAGCCTTAACTGGGCCTTTCATTCCCTCCACCTCCGCTGCAGGGCGGGATCCAGCAGCTCTGACCGAAACCTTCATTCTGAGGGTGCCAGAACAAGGACGGGTATCACGTCCACCTCCAGCTTCACCAGCACACAGGGACACAGGACTGGAGGTTTGTTCTGGTTTCATGCTGAAGCTGGTGGTGTTAGAGCAGACGGCGACCTGATGACAACAGTCAGCAGTCAGGGTGGGGACCCACGGGCCGCTCAGCAGAACCGACACCAGAGCAGGTTCTGTTGTGGTCGGACTACACACACAAGGGTTCAGGTTCACTAACACAGTTTGGAAACGCTACGTATTAGATTGCAGTGGTCTTTGTTTTGAGGAGCTTCATCACACAGACGCAGCAGAAGGAGTGACCTGTTCTCCTCTAAATAGTGTTTCTACTAGAACCGGTCCAGACATGAGCAGGGTCCATGTGAAATACCGACACTCACTGGTTGCTGCAGAACAACTGACAGCTAAGAACTGGATGAAAACCAGGTTCCATGAAGGAAACCACAATTGTCACAGATTTAAAAGTTGTGTTTGCTTTTTGTTTCTTGTTTTTTGTTGTTGTTTTTTTTTTTGGGGGGGGGGGGGGGGAGTCTAGTTTAGATGCAGGTTTATTCAAAGGTGCTGCTGCTTGTTTCTGAAGAAGTCTACCAAACAAGCTCGGTTCTGTGGAGCATCCTGCAGCTTCTTCCAGAGGGAGGTTCTGGTCCAGCCGTCCCTGCTGGGCCTCAGAACCCCGATGAGCAGCAGCTGGTGGCTGGTTCAGGTTAGAGACCCTCGTGGTGGGGGTCGCTGGAGGAGGAGGGGGCTGCTGGACTTCCTGAATGTCAGCTCCTTCATCTCCATCCTGCGCAGAGCAGCGGTCAGAGGGAAACGCGTTTCCTCTGCAGCCTCGTTCAGGGAAAAGAAAAGAGAGAAACTTGACTTTCTGCGTCCTCGCTGAGTCCTGGACTAATGTTTTCCGTTCATATTCTTGCTGCCTTTTTCCTCCCCTTCATCTCGTCCCTCCCCCCTAGAGCGACAGGCTCCCTGGCTGTGTTGTAGGCGCGCGGTATAAAGCGGGAAGCCCCGCCATTCCCCTCACATCCGAGCGCTCCGACCGCTGCGCGCCAGCTGTCACACAGGCAGGAGCTGAACCTGAGCACCGCTATGACCCTGCTGCTCCCTCTACCTGGATTAACTCTCCACTAACCCGTATTTGTCCACCGCCGCCCGACGCGCAGCAGCAGCAGCAGCAGCAGCAGCCCGCCGGCTCTCCGTCCTGTCCCCGCTCTCCAACTCTCAGCTTTGTTCCGCGGTCATGGGGTGCGCTGCTTCCGTGTTGCCTGGGCAGCTGAGGGGCTCGAGCGCGCTGTGAGACGGATACCAGGTGGATTTATGGTCGTCAGAGCCGCAGGTACCAGCCAAGGGAAATTAGTGGAAGTTTGAGCTCCGAGAGGATGCAGGTGACGTGCTGGTGCGCCGTGTTCCTCCTGACGCCCGCTCTGAGCCTGGTGAGTTCCTCCTCAGCCCGCTGCTCTCGCGCAACTTTTCTCTACTTCACATTGTTGTGGCAGAAACCCTGACACCAGGCTCATGCTTTCTTTCATGCTCACACATTTCAGCACAGCTGGAGACACGTAGCTGTTCGGGGTCCCAGCTTATGTTTAAAGAGCGATTCAAACTTTGTGTGCACGCTGTAGCGCAGTGCTGATGGTGACCTGACACCAGGTGGGCCTCTGCTGTGCGCGGTGCCGCTGCTCCGAACAAGCACGTCCTGAGCGCGTGTAACTAAAGAAGTCTGGACGGCGGCACGCAGCTGATGAGTAGGACGGAGATTTTAATTTATTCTGCAGTTTGTTTTGTTGTTTTAATTCTAAAACCTAGCGCCAAAAACTGCGCTCACAAACACACACGGCCGAGTGGATCGGTCTCACGGGGGCGCCCTAACGGACCAGGAGCCCATGGCACAGCCAGGCTGCCGGCGCGCGGTTAGACCTCCGGTAGACTGGAAACCAGCGGCTCGGTCCAGCTGGAGGTGGGTCTGGTTCTGGTTCTGGCTGCTGTTTAACCTGGCGGTGTGTGTGATGGTTTAGGTCAGGGCACGCATGGCTGTGTGCCTAAAATAAAACATAAAATAAACCTTAAAGGAATCAAATCAAAGCACATCCACATGAAGCACAAATTATTTTGATTTAAAACAAGTAAACATAAAGTTCATTTACTGTTATTAATATAGTTATATTCAGGGTTTACTGTTCCTCATTTACGGGTTATTCTGTTATTCTGATACAACATTCAGGCGGCACCAAGAATCAGACAGAAGAACACGGATTAGACAGAACACAATTATATTTCTACTTCCTAAAAAATTATATGACATATCAGATGTGGAAGCAGGTCTGAATGCTGCTCTGGATGAATTGTTGCTCCTTCATCAGACCTCATCCTGATTCTCACCTTACACGTTTTATTCTCACCTGCCAACAGGTGTAGGGGCTTAAAAAAAAAAATCCTAATTAATTTAAATTATAAAACGAAAATTAATTCCAGGAAAATGTGCATCAAATGTTATCACACACACACACACACACACACACACACAGCAGCGTCAGACTGCAGCAGGTGAGCTGTGATGTTTTATAGCCACTGTTTATGTTTCATCCAGATTTAAATCAAGCCTCTACATTACAGCAACTGTCTCTAATAATAACAACAACAACAATAATAATAACAATAATAACAAAAACAACAATAATAATAATAAACCTGCAGTGGGGTGTTTGGTGTGTAAACGTGCACAGGTTATTTATTTACTGACTGTTTAACTAAATGACTCGCAGTAAACACGCAGCGGTTCACGTGGAACTGTCCACGGTGCTGAAACTATTTCATCAGACGTTCTGTAGTTAAACAGAACCAGCGGCCCGCTAGGACTAACGGAGCCGGGACTGGAGTACCAGCGGCCTCACCACCACGCTGTCTGTTCAAATTAAATGTGTTTAAATTGACTTTTGAAATTAAAAACTAGCGTTAAAGCTCGTGCTGTCTGAGCTCCTCTGACAGCGTCCTGTTCTGGTTTGGGTCCGGATGTGGTGTCTCTGTATCCTCCTCATTCCTCCTGATGCTGTTTCACTATTACATTCTGAGGCTTCCTGCATTTACACACATTCAGCTGCAGTGTGGATTTATTGAGGAATTAAACTCTGTCGAGGAAAACCTGTGTGTGTGTGTGTGTGTGTGTGTGTGTGTGTGTGTGTGTGTGTGTGTGTGTGTGT